CTCATTTTTTTAAACTAACGACTAGCTTGATCTCATCCTCTTGTTGCCTGGCAACAGCATATCCCGATGGGCACTCCCATCTCCCACAATGCAGTGCTGTAAATCTTTGTAAATGTGTGTTGATTATAATGTAGGGGAAAAAGGAATGGGTTACGATATGCACCAACAGATATCCTGTGTTAATAATTTCAGCGAGTAATAAAAAGTTCCGACAGATATTTAACGACTTTTCCTCGAGACGAATCAGCCGAATGTGCTTCCTATGCCACTGTCAGCCTGCACAGGGCGTCAGCTGTTTAATGACTGATTTATTTTCATCAACACAAGCTATTTATTGTTCTTCATATAATCATCTGTTAAGAGGTTGGCTGTTCAGGTCAACCCAAACCAATAAAGAGGAACCTTTTATAAAATCAAACGCTTTTCTGTATCGTGTGGGGAATGGACACTTTCTCAACTCCCTTTTCTTTTTGTTTCTCCTATTTCAAATCTTCAATGCATGCATGTAAATATACTCCCGTTCTTCCAAAGCTGCAGATGTTCAGCTTTTGTCCACATTCTTTCCTTTGTCAAATATTCCAACCATTCCACAAAACGACGTTACCAACTCTTATTGCTCTAATGCACACTGTTATAGCAAAGGAAAACTCACTTGTTTTAAAGTTTTGCTTGAGATTTGTATGTTTTTTTGGTCAATTGTGTCATAACATGTTAACATGATGGGTTGAATAACAATGACAGTAATGTGACCTACACACCATCAGAGTTCAGAGAAGCCCCCCCGACCCTTTGGTGCCTCTGAAAATAAGAATTTGTTCTTAATTGATTTTCCTGGCTAAATAAAGGTTATACTACTACTGAGTGGTGGATGAAGACTCAAGTACTGTACTTAATTAGAATGTTGATGTACTCGTACTACTTTGCTTCAGTATTTTTAGTTATGTATGTCCTCCACTACATTTTGGAAGCCTATATTGTACTTTTTAGTCCTCTAAATTTGATACATTTAAGTATATTTTGATGCTGATACTTTTGTACTTATGCTCAATTTTGAATTCAGGACTTTTACTTGTAACAGTTTTATTTTTACAGTTTAGTATTGTTACTTTCACTGAAGTAAAAAATCTGAGTGCGTCCTCCATCACTGCTTACAAGAAATATTAAACAAGTAGAAGAAAAGATACCTCAGATATGGAAACGGAACAAATAAATCAGATACAACTAAAAAGAAGTGCAAGACAAACACGATATTTTCTAAACAACACGTGTTGACAATAATAACAGGAAACAGCATCTTTGAAAAGCAATTTAATTCAGTTTAAAAAAATAAAAAACAGGAACAAAAACAACACAGCGAAATGTCTACGTACTACAAAAACATTGGTGATACTTTTCAGAATATGTTCTCTCTCCTTGAAGGCTTGGTGGTTAGCTCAGTGATGCGTTACAGTATTTCTGGTAAATGGACTCAATAATTGCTCATATTTTTTTAATCAAATGCCTGTTGAAGCAGACAGATGGCTTTTACAGCCACTTGGAATACACAATGAGATGCTTCAAAATGGCTGCATATCCAAAAATACTGGAGTTAAATGACACAAATACAATTTTCCTTTATAAATAATAGTTTTTTGATGAACACAATATTCAATTAAAAAGCTTATTGGCATTAGAAAAATATCCTTTCTGCTTTTTTTGATGCATTGACAATGAATAAAATAGTGGCTAGCCATACGTTTGTCTTCCTTTCTGTTGAAATAGTATAAAAATCCACTATATATAAATATAAATATATACAAAACAGTCGTATGATTGCAAAGTCAGTTTCTACAGAATTGAAATATTTTTTTGGGGGGGATTTCTATTACAAGTCAAAAATTTAAAATGTGTATCACAGCACTGAGGCAGAATATTAGAAATGCATGGTTTAACTCCGAGTGTGATTCTGTGAGGAGGGAACAAAGATATCAGCGGTGCAAGCAAAGTGCTGCCGTAACGGTGTGTATTCTCCTGCTGCTGCACATTTAGGCAAAGAGAATAGAAACAACACAAGAGGCCAGAATTAATCAAGGAGAAGAAAAATAGAAATTGTGATTCCTGTCACCTCCCCTGGATTGTTTGAAATTGTACAAAAGGAGGGAAACACAGCGAGAATAAAGAGGCGATGAAAAGAAAGAATGATGTAATGAAAAGAAAGAATGATGTTGGTGTGTCTTTGCAGGCCTCATTCCAGCGGGGCCCTCAGAAAGACATTGTGGATTTTTGTACCATTCAACAACAAAGGAGCTCCTTGTGGTCAGATTTAAAAACTTTGGATCAAAGTCTTTGGCTTCCTGTCTACTCCACTTCCAGCCATTTACCAGGGGCCCTTGACTGGGCCCTTGGGACTGTACTCCACTTGATGGCTCATACAGTCCCCTGGATTACACCGGCCGTCGCTTCCCCTTTTCCCCGTCTGCCCAGGGGAGCCCGAGACCCCAGGAACACCCTGCTGGCCCACAGGACCTGTGGGGCCCGTCTTACCGTAGCCTTGGGGCCCGGGGACACCTGCAAGAAGGGACATAGAAGGATTGACGCACGATGTTCCATAGAGAACTCATGTTGAATGATATGCACATGTCAAACTAATCATTTAAAGCTTTATCTGTACATATCACTCAGTGTTTTGCACCAATACGATGCAAAAACAAGTAAATAGTTTATCCCATTTATTAAGTGAGCATGGGGAAACATTTGAGAACACTTTTGATCATTTAATGTGTTTGCTCTTTCAACCAAAACCACATGTTGACCCAAAATACATAAACGCTTTAAGTAAAGCGATCTAAACTAGATGGTGATTACCGATTAAGAGCGATGCTACATCGATATCCTAATAGCTTGCAATTTTCCAATCAACAACAAATGCAAACTCAGTAACTAGCATCATGTATGTGATGTTAGCTCATTCCTACAGCAGGGTTTGGATCAGGTCTAGGTGTATTATCTAGTGCAGTGCTTCTCAAAGTGTGGTCCGCGAGCGCCCCCTAGTGGTCCGTGAGTATATTGGTAACATTTCACATTTTAAATTAATTAATTTCTTTAAGTTTTCTGCAATCTCGCGGGAATATCTCCGTATTGGAGCGAGCTTAAGTTTCACTTTCAATTGCATGATATAGCCCAGCGCAACACCTTCATCACACATGTTGCCACTTGTTTTTACCATTTTCAGGCGATTTGTAATCTGTTCTAGAAAAACGATGTGTTTTTGGATATTTGTGGAATTAGGTGGTCCGCGAGTGTTTTTTTATTGGTTAAGTGGTCCTTGGTATGAAAAAGTTTTAGAAACACTGATCTAGTGGAAAACTATTACTGATATAAGTGCCTAAACAAAATGAGACAATAGATTTGGCAACTTTTAGAGCATTGCAAAGGACTTGGCAGCGCTTGGCTCGGTTTTTGGTTGGATCATATTTTAATCTAGTTTACTCAGGTTTAAACACAACATCGCTGCCTTTACTACTTCCTGATCCCTGTTCCAGTGGGGTACATTACCTGGTGCTCCTGGAGGTCCTATGTCTCCCATCTCTCCTACACCCTTATCTCCTTTTACTCCCTCTGGCCCTCGTGATCCTGCACAAAGACACATGTGGTAAAACGTTTAGAGTTAGCTAATGATGACACCTTCGTCACTGTTATGGTGCTTGAAGGACACTTGGTATACCGGGGAGTCCTTGTCCTCCTGATCGTCCTTGTCTTCCAATCTGACCCGGGGATCCAGGTGCCCCCTGGCTCCCAGAAACACCTGGAGTACCGTCTTTCCCTGGGGACCCGGGCCGGCCTGGGGAGGCCACCGACTCTGGCATCTGCATGCGAGACAGGTAGTAGGCCATTCTCTCTGGGGAGGGAAAACATGCATTCAAAAACAATGAATTCGCAGCAAATAACAGAGGTGTCCCAGAGGAGACATGGAATAACTCTTTAAAAAGGGGGAAAAACAACTACTCTAGACAGATCTTTTTGAGTCTGTTACGTAGGTTTTTTAATCTGGGTCAACAACAAAAACAAACCATTTTTAGGATTATTAAGAATATACACAACAACAGTCACATAACAAGGCACATGCCCTCACCATCGAAGATCTTGATGACCTGCTGGCGGATGAAGTTCTTGACTTCATCATAATTGACTACAGCCTGTTTAAGAATCGAGAGAAAAAGAGAAACAAAAAGGGTAAACAATAATCAAGGAAGATAATTAAAAACTGCATTATTTACAAGAGCAGATGGAGCAAGTGAGCGCCTCTGGCCCCTGTCCTCTGTGAGATCCCCTTTACTCACAAACAAGCTGGGTGTTGCATTATTTGGAGAGGATTAACAAAAGAATAGAGGCATTCAGGCTACAGTGCTGTGTGTGATGAGTCTGTGTCTCACATCGTTTCCTGGTGACCCTTGAGATCCAGGGTTCCCAGGGGAGCCGTCTGAGCCGGAGCTCCCCCTCTCCCCTCTGGGTCCAGCGGGGCCCATCATGGGCTGAGCATTCTTGGTGTGGTACTCTCCCCCGCCGGGAAGTCCGGGTCTCCCTCTCTCCCCTGCTTGACCCCTCTGGCCTGCAGCCCCAGCTTCACCCTGTGAGATGGACGGTGATGTTTGAAGTTAAAACAAAATCTCTTTCTCCCAAATTAGAGCAGTACCACTACGCTGGATGAGAAGGACACACCTCTGTTAAGGGTCTCAGTGGTTTTATATGAACATTTTATTGAAATTACAGCAATGTTTCTATTGAAATGTATTTTGTTTGTGTTAATAGCTTCAAGGTCATGTGACCAAGTGACTTCAAATCATATGTATCTTTATATTTATTATTATTTTCAAATATAACTAACGGGCAACAGAGAATGCCTTTTACCATGCCCTCTTTATTCAACATACTATTCTATGTTGGCTTTTGTGATATTTTTGGACATATCAGTGTTTCCCCTAGGTTTACTGCTTTGGGGGGGTGCTGTCTGAGCGGGGGGTGTTGTTGGGATATTTAATTTTTTTAAATCCTCTGGAGCAGAGAGAGGACCTGTGGATTATTGTTATTGATTAATGCATCAGTGTTTCTTAGGGTCAAAAACACTAAACTTAAAATGAAAGTGTTTAGTTTATTTAAGAAAAGAGCACATGTTCAATGTGACAGTAAATAGATTAGTTGCAATTTGGTGCTATAAATATGTATTATTAAAAAAAAGAAAATAAATAAAAAACACCTTGAATTTCAGGGGGGGCGCGGGGCTCCGTTGGCACTGCTGTAGTAGTACTAATATAGTGAAACCTGAAATAAGAACTAACCAATAAGGCTTGAGGGTCACAGGAAACGTTGACCTGCTTCTTTCCTGTTGTGTTGTATTTTGAAGGGACACCGCTGCAGTATGGAGAAGTTGTCAGTTTACATCTTTACACTGGAATGGTTTAGTAATGCATTCAAGACTATTAAAAAACATGGCACGAGACAAAACCCACACACAACCAAAGAAACATTCGTAGCTTTTTTTATCCGTACGAGTGCTCCATCAGTCAGGTTTGAGGAGTATCACATTATTTAGGAAGCGCGTCAGCAGAGTCATTCTCTCTCTGTGTGTTAAGACCTGGTGCTGTTGGCTTGTGTACCACGGCGCTCAGGACTGATCCAGAGTCTATGAACTGCAGCCTGAATTTTGAAGGGTTGGTCCTCAGCCGGCTGTGACTTCAGGGTTTCTGAGATGCTCCTCCAGTCTGAGCCCCTCCTCAGACGACAGCAACCCCTTAAAGAGACGGGAGAGAAGGATTAGGACAGCAATGACTCATGTTCCAGACGTTACCTATTCAATTGGTAACTTGCCATCTGTAAAATATCTAAAATTTTACTTTTGATCTTTTACAGGTGATAAGTTATGGTAGTTATACTTTTAATTTAATCTTTAAATTATTAGAAATATAAATGTACTTCGAATGTAAATAATTACATTTTTCACATTTTTTATTTTAGATTTTTGTGCATGCGCTTTTATCTAATAGTGTTTGATTTTGTCTCAATCTTCACTTTTGCTGTAACTATGTACATTTCCCCTCTGTGGGACGAATAAAGGTATTCTGATTAGTAAAAGACACATTTTGTCTTCCTTGTTCCAGCTGGTGAGCCCATGCATGTACATGATAAATGCATCATGTATCTGTAATACAGAGAGTAATGTGGGCCTGTTATACTGAGTGATATATATTTTTACACACTGCTCTGCTTTCTGCACGGACCTCACAGCTGTTCTCACTGTAAACATCGCGTCGTCGTTCAAGCAGTTACTAAAATAATATCCAGGGCCCAGGAGTTCAAAACTTTTAATCCCTATCTGATCAGATCAGATTTGGATTTTGGGGAGTTCAAAACCAAAAAACAGGATTAGGATGATTTTGATATCTGATCAGATCAGGAAATCCAATCCAAGCTTTAATCTGGATCAAATCTTCAAAACGGGTAGTTCAAAGCGACAACACAGGATTGGGATCAGTTTGATCCCAAAAAACTGGATTACCCTGATCCCACCAGAGGGGTGGATCTCCAGTGGATTACCAGAGCAAAATGTACTGTACAATTTATTTTAAAATATGTTACAATTTAAATAAGATGGCAAAGTTTGTTTTTAGCCTTCATGGGAAATACATTTTATTTTTCCCATTTTTCGCTCACGTTTGTGGTGGCCTATTTGTTTTTCAACCAAATTTTTGACGACATAAATGTTTATGCTCATAAAAGTGTAACAGCAAAGATTGTCAATCAAAAATGTAATTTAGATTAAAGTAAAAATATCTTCAACAAAAAAAAAGTCCATCATCTGTCATCACCTTTCAAATAAAAAAATATAATTAGACATTATAGATGTCTCTGCAATGTGGTCTCTTGTCTTCCTTGTATTATTTTTCATGTCCACTAGATGGCGATCGGTAGGATTAAAGCACTGATATTCAGGATCTAGTCATCTTGAAAAATCGTAATCTGGATCAGGCTGATCCTATCCTGAATTGCTTTGAACTCCAGGGACAAAATCTGTCCGACTTGTCTGATCCTGGATCACAAAAAATGGGTATCCCTCCGCGTCTGAGAAAAACAGTATACCGTTGGGCTGAAAAGCAAACTGCCTGCAGTTTGCTTTTCATACTGGAACAAGAAAGCAGCGGAGAAGTAACGGGACAGAAGCTGGGCAGAAGCCCTCCTTTTTGACGCAGCGGTCCAGACATAGACATCAAACGGCAAAACATATTCAGTGTGCAGTTCCTTTGGCATTAGGGCAGGGATATCTAGATANGTGGCGGCACACCTGCGACTCAGGTGGTATATGTTATGATACGAGAAATACTTTATGATACGGGACTAAAAATAGCATGGGTGACAAGGTACTGAAATGGCTGATGATATGACCAGCAAAAAAGTCTACAACAGTGTATGACATAAAGATTTATATAGTTTTTTTTTTAGGTCATATCAATACCGCTTGGATATTGGATTACAATCCAGCTTTTTTTGGTTCCATATATATAAGTATTTATCACAAAATTAGTATTATGTGTCTAACAGCTTGAAAAGACCTTTTTCAGATCCATCAGCGGCACAAGGGGATGAACAGAACCTCCCGCGACGGGGCGTGCGTCGGGCGAAGGGGGACTTTAAGTTCCCAAGTGAAAAAATGAAACATATGAATATATCGGTACAGTTTAAATTGATTAGATAGATGACAGCTGAAAAGGTAACTTGTACACGAAAAATAATTATTGATTTCGAAAGTAAAATTCAACACTCAAAATACAATAACTGGGGTCTGCTTGCCGGCAGGCGTGTCTGAAACTCGACCAACAACCAATCACATGAATCTCCCGCCCCGGACACACAAGCACGCGGTTTGATTGGCTAGAGCTTGTACTGGCATATGATTTGATTGGCTGACGCTTCCGTCGAAGCTTCAAAAGTTGAACATTGCTCAACTTTTGAAGCGAGCAACGCGCGGACCCATAATGCAGTTCGGCAAAGCGTGACGTCACCCCATTCAAAGTGAATGGGAAGAAGCATTGAAGCTTCAACGCACACCACCGCGTGGACGGGCCGTTAGTCACAAAGCACATTATCGACTCACTCCTTATTTCCTAAGCTAGGCTAACGGTTGATGCTAATATGCTTCATATTTAACAGAGATAGTGGTATCACTCGTTTCATCAAACTCTCAGCCACAATTCTTGTCAACTTTTGTATTCTTTGTCACTTTGCTCTTTCTATTTAATTATTCATCTAACTTTGAGGAGCATAAAAAGACTATCCTCAACCCTATTCACAGAAGCCTTTCAGACAGCTTCTGGGTACGTCTATATCACTTTCCACACAACAGGAGCCCACAATTGTGCTTGTTTAAATACAATACAAAACTCCTGCTACATTAGCGACAGTGATTTATCAAGGACAAAGCAGCCCATAATGGACGTCTAATGTTTACACGTCACCGACAGACAAGCAGCTCTAGAAATAGAGAGGAGAAGAATAGAGGAGTCCGTCCTCGTCTCTCTCCTCTTCTGTGCAGCTAAAACCCTGACAATGCCGTCCTGTCAACGTGACAAATGGTCTCATCTAGCATCTCCCCTCTGGCTTAATAGCATTATCCCAGAGGCAGAGAATAACTTTATCACTGCATCCACCTACACTACTGTAAGCCGGAGTCTGAGGAGAGATCCAACGGGCTCACAGACCGTTTGGAGAGGGGTGAAAAGAGGTGAGGAGCGAAGAGGGTGTCAGTGGGAGGGTCGGAGGATGGGTGAACTGATGACTGTGTTAAGTGTGGGTGATTAGTGGGTAGAAATGGAGAGAGTAAACGTGTTCAGCACCAAGTCTCCTTGAACTAAAGAGAAGAAAAATAGGGGGCATCTTTGTGCATGCAGATTCAGGTATACGGAGGTGATACAGTTTGACGACACACACATAAACGACCGCATTATATCTGTACTGCCTCGAACCGGCTCTCACCTTTTGACCTGGCTGCCCATTATCTCCTGGTAGGCCTCCAGATCCCTGTCAAAAAAGAAAGATCCATCAAAGGAAGAAAACAAAAAATTCAGAGCACCACAACAAATGTACATTGATGAAGATAAACACCAGATTCAGACATTACTCACATCTTTACCAGCTGCACCATCGCTGCCTGGCTCTCCCTTAGAGACAAAGTTAAAGCAGGAGAAACAAGAGTGAGCTATATTGGCATTGTAGCAGTTAAAATGTGATTTTAATTTCATTTTCTGAGGGTCTACATTTTGACGTTTACAGAAGTATAGGGGTACCAACCAAAAGCCCTGGGTGCCCAGGTGGTCCGGGGGCTCCTCCCATCCCTGGAAGACCCCTCTCCCCAGCTTGGCCCTTGTCTCCATTTATACCCTACAGAGGGAAGATGGAGAATTCAAAGTCTAAGATGCTCTGCTTGTTAAACATTCTCTCATGCACAACAGTATAGCTCATAATGCACCGTTTTCACACAATCTCAAGGCACGTTCATTTCAACTTGTGATTTTTCAAATGTGTTTGGCATATCCTTTTCTCTGGTCATCATCCATCATCATCCATCATGTTTAGCCTCTGTAATGATTGTCTTTAAGCATAATTAACGTTCACCCAACAAACATCCAACAAATATTAAATCCATATCCTATTTATTAAAATATGATGGTCACATGTTTCACTGCATTTCTCTCACCAGTCCTGATGGACCAGGTGATCCTGGTGGTCCAGCTGCACCTGATGAGCCCTAATGGGTAAAATAAAAATATGTTATTCAAGTTTAAAACACCGACTTAGTAGATATACCGTCTAAAGGTTAAAAGGGCAGTGAACTTACAACGTGGCCGGAAGGTCCAGGTCGACCCGGAGGTCCTGGGGTCCCGGTGTCACCCTAAAAAGGTCACAGATTGACCTTTAGTAATCTCCAGAGTTGCACCGATTATGATTAAATTCTGTTTCTTTGGGCTTGTATACACAGATTATGGATTTTCATTTGAATCTTTATACAAATAAACTTGGTGTAATGATACAAAAATAGGAATACTCACATCATGTCCTGTCCTGCCTGGTGGTCCAGAGGGGCCTGAAGGTCCAGATTCACCCTGAAGGAATGAGATAGTAATGAAAAGGCATGGGATGACTCCAAACAACGAGGTAGCACACTGACAACACTTGTGCCATCACATCATTATCAGTTTGATAAAACAACTTGGCCTTAATGCACAGGCAGCAGACAGCAATAACTAGTTGTAATACAGAAGAGACATAGCGTGATGGCAAAGCAACAAGCTGTTGGCTCACCTTCTGTCCAGGGAAGCCAGTATGGCCGGTTTTCCCTTTGAATCCCTGAGGGGAGACATCAAAGAGAATTAGATTGGTACAGTATCAAAATTCACAAAGTCGATGCTGGCAAAGAACAGGTAGACGTGTCTTTGAAATCCCAAACACCTGCTCTTGGGTGGAACTCAAACTGAGATACAGAGAGTGAGTCAGAGAAATCAAATCAAAAGAGAAGTTGACTACGGCATGTGTCAGTGTCAGAATAAAAAATGGAAAGATACTAATAGAAGATATGAAGCTTAGCAGTTTCAAATGAGGTCACTAGTGACAACGGCCACATTAACAAGACTCACGATTGCACCTTCATGAGCCACCAAGCGAATTTGATTTGGGCGCGGTTGTTAAAACCATATAAAAGTCATGAACGAGTTAATCACACCCGTCTTGAAACTTTTCTATACATATGCATTCAGGATCAATCCAAAATGCAAGTCACAATCTCAAGAGGACAGAAACTCCACCCATCGTTGGCAATCCATCTCTCCATTAAGAGCTTCAGATAGGTTTCCAATGAAAAAGGTTTAGTCATGCAGGCTGATTTCCATAGCAGTTTGTGGAACTCAAGGTGAGCCGTGGCAATGCAATTCTAAAGCATTGTATTAAAAGTATGCCTATCAAAACAAGCTGCTGTGGGTGAAACATACAGAGGGCATTGCTGACGGGAATATTAGGGAGAACACAAGATTTGCATTTATCTCTAAATTATGCAATGTGTAAACATAAATAAGAGTTTGCAAATGGCTCTGAGAGGACGTATTGAAATGCACATTGGTTTAAGATGTTAGCATGATAACATTGGCTGATTAGCCATCAACACAAAGTATAGCTAGGGTTAGGGTTATAATTATTTTTGCAGTTATTTGGTATAGAATTAAATAAAACCTGAGCTGATAATGGTGCTTTAGGATAGGTGAAGTGAAAAATTAATCATTACAAATAATCCCGATGGGGGGGAATTCATTTAAAAACCAAATTCCATGGCAATCCATCCAATCGTTTCATGAGGAAATTAACCTGATTAGAGAAGTCATGCTCATGGCTAAACACAGCTTTTTTTTTCTTTTTTTCTGTTACTGTCTTACTGTCAATGCTTGTTTTCATAACACATATTCCTAAAGGGCAGCAAATGATTCATACAGATTGGTAGATCAAATGTATGATTGTCTATATTAACATCTGGTTTGAACAGCACTGCATGCCTAATTAACGATGTTTTTTGCACTGGATACATCGGGTCATGTAGATGTGAGAGGTGATTCTTACTGGGATTGCTCTCGGTCCTGCTGGGCCTGCGGGGCCTGCCTCTCCCTGATGAAAGAAAAGCCAGCGTCAAAATTACATGAATGTATTTAACTATTACACAAACTATAGCATGACCTCAGTGTGTCTTTGGATATTCTGCCAGTGTATAACTTACCCGCAGTCCTGGTTTCCCATCCTTTCCATCCAACCCCTCAATGCCAGGGGGGCCCTTTCATTGAGACAGACAGAGAAGGCAAATGAGAATTCATTTTATAGATTCTTAGAATTAGTCAAACTTGGATAATATGCAGTATTATAACACACCATGAGCCCGGGGGAGCCTGAAGAGCCTGGAGGTCCACTTGACCCCTGAGAGCCGTGAGCGCCATCATTTCCCTATGGAAGCAAGGGTTTTCAGTACAACACATAATCACTTTGGAATCAAACATAATGCTTAATATGTGAAGTGTACTCACTTTTTCACCTTTGAGGCCTGAGAGCCCTTCCCTTCCACTTTTGCCGGCAGGACCTGGTCCACCCTAAAAATACACACGGTGGCAAAAAAAAAGTTACTCCAACTAATCTAAGGGCAAGAAATTGTAATAATAAAAGGTACAACATGTACATACTGGTGGTCCTGGGAAACCTGGTGGTCCTGGGAAACCCTTAAAATGAAAAGAGTAACATATGAGTGTGTGTGTAATGTCTTCATAAAGAGGAAATGTTTCTGTCATGTGTTTTTTATACCGCATCTGCTTTGGGACCGAAAGGCCCTGCTGGTCCGGTGTCTCCTTTAATTCCCTGTAGACACAGATAGGATATACATTACTGTTGGTTTATGATAAAGAAGTGTGTGATGATAAATGAGGAAGCCAGGCTTTAAATATTGCTGTGCACAATTTATGATGAAACACTGACCGTTGGGCCAGCTTGTCCTTGGTTCCCGGGTACACCAGGAGGGCCCTGCAGAGGTGAAGGTAATGTTAGCCACTAACACTAGCTCAGATTCATTGTGCAGTATATATATTATTGACGGTGTAATGGCTTACTGATTCTCCTTTCTGACCAGAGCTTCCGGGGCTCCCACGTACGGCCTTCATTCCCTGACAAATACATATGGACAGTAAATCACTGTAACCAGCTGTCCATTCATTAAAGATGTAAGGTCGCTGTCAATCACATCCTTCTTTTATAATGAGGAAGCAACTTACAGGAAGTCCAGGCGGTCCCATGCTTCCTGGATAGCCAGATGTCCCAGGAGTGCCCTGAGGGGGAGATCATATAATAAAAAAATTAGATAGAGAAATCTACATGTTATGATTTCAGGGGAATTGATTGGCAGGTAATTTACCTGTTCGCCCTTAATCCCTGGCAGGCCTGATGACCCTGACTCACCCGACTGTCCCTGAGAATGATTGGAGTGAGGAATGATTAGAAAATGAGGTAGAGGATATGTATGATGTGATACAGTATGTATGTTCTCCAGCCAAGGACAAGGCAGGTCAATATCAAAGAGAGGAAACAGCTATTCCTATCATTAATTCACAGACAGACATTATTGAATGTTTATTTTAAAACACAGTTATCATAGCTACGACCAATTTCCAACGCCAGTACCTAAAAGTGTCTTTACGAAAATAAATACAAACCATGTTCAGGACTAACGCAGTACATTTTGTGTGCAATGTTATAAGAACAGCATGAATATTTTTTTACAATGTTTGGTCAGTATATTCAATGTTAGCTCTTTTCCAATAAGTTATACAACATTGTGTCCCGGCTCTCTTCCAGAAGTCATGTATCACTTTAAGACATTGAACAAACAACGGAAATATATGGGGGTTATTGTGTTATTGCCATACTGCAAACTTCTACCTCTGCAATGAATAACATGTCAAATTCTGAGAAAACACTGCATGTTTGTAAGCATTAATATGCATGTGCGAGTGTCCTGTGTAGCCTAGCAACAGCTGCTGTATGTGGAAGACAGATGAATGCTGGAAGAAAAATAAAACGTTTTTATTTTTGAAATGAATAAATAGAATATCAGTAGGTGCTTTCTTTAAAGTGGTGCCATGGGAGAATGATAATAAGCCGTTTAACTAACTTTGTTTTAATAAGAATGATCCCTTAAGAATACCTTTAAAAAAAGAAAATTGTAAGAATTTCCTAGTGAGAGTGATTGCTGAGGGTTGTAATCTCGAGAAAGTAATTAGTGATTGGTCGTACTGAGGAGACACTAATTAGCATCTCATCAGTGAATATGAGTGATACATGCACAAACAGCCTAAACGGATTCACCACTGCACACAGCGGAGGCTAACACCTGCTATAAAGTGCTACTATGCCGCGAATTGGTTCCATGCAGCGCTCCTTCATTTAGCATCTCTATTCTGCGAAAACAATAAATCTGTATGAGGAGGAGGGAAGGGGGAGGGCTCTGTCTGCACGGCAGTCCCACTCTCCATCACTTAGACGGCGGAATAATTGAACAACTGGAGAAAGAGACCACCAAATCGTTTCCTCATCTGAAATAACTTTCATCCAGAGCCACGGAGAGATGGCAAAGATGGCATAATCAAGGGCTGATTGATTTCAAAGATGAAGAAGCACAAAAGAAAGCAAAAAGAAGATTTGATTGAGATGCTAACTGATAAAACTTCCACTGTTTCTTTTCGTGAATTTGACTTGCATAGAAGTGTTTTTTGTTTCTTTCTTCTCAAATAGAATGATCTTCTTCCATCACAGATTAAAGAATAGAGAGGATATGGATGAAACATTTTTTTTTTTAAGTGTGAGTAAAACTTACAGGTGTACCAGGTGGGCCCTGGGGACCTTGGAAACCAACAGGTCCCTGTTGACAGAAAACAAAGAATTGGCAAGGAATTGTACTCATCTTAAAGCAGGTTTAAACTCCCTGAAATGCAGTAATTACTACAAATATTTCAATGGAGATGGCGTGTTGATGAGAATTGAAGATGCTGGTAATGTTAGGTCATTGTATGGGACATCATTTCCAGCAGGGGGCTCTGTGAAATCATGAAAAATGGCAAACAAAAATTCTTCTCAATTTAAAATCTGAAGCTTTGAGACAACTCCCAGCGGTGCTGTCCTAAAACGTTCAAAAGAAAGAAAGAAAGACATGGGGTTGAAAATCTTCCCTGACAGAAGCACTGGCTCACTTATACAGTGATTAGAATGCACTTTATAGTTCTCCAACGTCTTTGGTCTATAATAGTTTTCAGAGTGACACAAAAAAAAAGCCTTCAAAGTACTGGAACTGTAGACCTACCTCACATTAGAGGAATATTTTAGAATAAGAATCCACCTCCACTGCTCTGTAGTGTTGCCATTAAGAGGATGGTGTGTTTTGAATTAAACCATGGGAAAATACTCAGCTTTCTCTCCTATAAATAAGCTCTATGGAAGCCATTTTGCTGGAATGTATAGATAAGAGGCATCCCATTGCTTAATCTCACCATGAGTCCTGGTGCTCCAGCTGAGCCTCGCTCTCCTGGTATACCCTTTAGTTCAGATGAAAAAAGAAAAATGCTCATTTTCAAATGCATACAAAGGCAAACCGAAAAACAATCATGTAGGCTAAAAGTATGTTTGCGTCAGACTCACTGGCTGTCCTCTCATTCCTTCTGCTCCGGCCGATCCTGGAATTCCGGGTGATCCTGATCTGTCGTACTATAAGGTAGAGACATAAATAAGTTAAGAAAAGTTCACATTTGTTTCTGTGAATGTCCTCAGAATGTGATAAAAAGACTATTAACTGACCGATGGTTGTGTTCCCTGGTCTCTTTGCAGTCTCTGCAAACACTGGAAACACACAAGAGAATCAGAGTAGTGCCTCAGAGCCGGAGCTACATGCTGTCGGATGGATAACTACATGCAAGCAATGCAAGTTACAATACAAATTACGGTATGGAAATGTATATCCATAAAAGAATAACAACACATATATTAGTGATGCTTTAATATGATTCTGGAAATGAGGAATCTTCATGTCTCACCTTGTCACAGCTGTCCAATGGGGTTACACCAGGCTTACCCTGGTCTGTCGAATCTTCCTTGACACCGTTTGGGCCTGGCACTCCAGGAGATCCTTGGGAACAGTTCCCTCCGCAGCCCTCCTGCGTTGAACACCGATAGAAACATACATTCATATATATATACAGTATATATACACACATGCCCAAAAACTGGCATGGCAAAGAGAAAGCAAAGTCAATGGATACGATAAACGCAAATTCACCAAAATATATATTTCTTACTCTAGCACTTACATCACCAGTATCTCCACTGTCTTGAGGCAGCCGTTGCGACCCAATATATCCTGACTAGAGCAGGGGCAGGGAAACAAATAACAATTACTATTTATTTTATTGCATCACATAGAATAGTTAAGGTAAACCTTTATAATCAAAATCAAATCTTTGATAATCTACAAATGCAATACATATTTCCCAATGTTCTTACATCAAATAAAGTTCAAAGACAGCTTTGTGATTAATCAGTTTCTTTGAAGACTTTACTAATTCCACAATGACAAACTTTTTTCCAATTGTATGTAACTCAGGTCTGTTATTAGCAATGACATTTCTTTTGAGTTCCCGTACAGTTGAGTGATTTATGCTTATTCAAACCAGGATACACCTGTGCATTCATATTGGGAAAAACAGCTATACGATATTTGTGATGCAATTTTTATACATTTCGCTTTTTAAAAAGTTCCAAAGATACTGTTACAAAGAGTCACAACTTTTCTTAGCGACATGTCCTTGTAGGACCATCTCATTTAGTAATCAGGACAAAATAAAGCACTGAAGATGCAGAATAGGCCTTTTTCAAAGATACATTTGAACTTGTAGTAGTAGGAAAAGCACAGGTGTGTGTATAATGAAAGGATTAATAGCTGAATTCTGTTTGATGGTATGGTATGATTTTTGCTCGCTCACAGTCAATCTGAGACTGTTGAAAAGGATGGAGCCATCATTAGTGTTAATATTAAAATCTCTGCTTTTCCTCCCATAACTATATGAAATGTCTGCTTTGAGGACATTTAACCCCTCATTCAGTAGGCTGTATAGTTCTGAAACTCCTTGCTTCTCTGTGTCCTAACTCAACAATACAAATACTTTTAATGTTTAATTGTATACATCCTGGTCTTTATTTTTTATGATAACCTGAAAATCACATTTTAAAGGGACCCTTCTATACTAATTTTCTGGTTTCATAATAATGACATGTCTCCATGCTTTAATGTTCAAAAAAGCTCTTTATTTTTCTCATACTGCCTGTTCTGCAGCACCTCTTTTCACCCTCTGTCTCAAACCAGAGCCCAGTCTGCTCTGATTGGTGAGCTGGCTGGCTCTGTTGTGATTGCTCAACCGCTTAGAGATGTCCAACCCTTTAGCCTATCACATACATTGTGTTGGCACACCAATGTAGTGTAGCCAATAAAAGCACAAGTGTTACATAGTGATATCACTATGAGATATCACTATGTAACAGGGTGGGAGAGAAACTCCCTCTGGAGGGAACTTGTGGGATTAACAGACCATTTACATGCACAAAAAACATAAATATATATAAAACCAAAAAAAGCATGTTAGGGCCCCTTTAATGTTTTTGAACAAATTAAAAGTATTTCACAAATTAAAATACAGTGGCCTAAGCTTATTCAGCATCACCGTATAGAAACAACTAGGTTTATTAGTTCTGGAGTCAACTATTTTTACTACAACATATGCCACAACTTGATTCTGAAAGTGACACATGTGCACATTGTAATAAAATAAAAACAGATATAAACAAAACAAAACTCAGAGCCAATCTAAACTAATTTCTTTGAAGCTGCAATTTAAATCTATCGAGACCTAAACTCTGTTCCAGAAAACCTTAAATGCAAGGCATATAATCACACACACACACACACACACACACACACACACACACACACACACACACACACACACACACACACACACACACACACACACACACACACACACACACACTTTTGATATGGGCAAGTACTTAAAAAAGAGAAGCAAACCAACAATCAAATGCCACTAGTGCCTGTTAATACGGTGTTCTGAAATGAAACCACTCACTCCACAAGCCCTATCACATTTACAGTGCAAGGCAGTCTGCTCCCTATCAAAGCAGTGGGACCCTTTCCACTGAGAGTCTGTCAATGGCACCTGGCCTGGTTTCAAAGTCATTACAAACCCATTTTACATTGTTCAAGCTGGAGCCTTTAGCTAGAAAGGCTATTTTATGCTCCGCGCCATTGGCTTTTTAACGGGCACAAGGCTTTTGTGCATTAACAGACTATCTCCAAGAGAAGCTTCTCGACAATAATCTGTTACTTCAGCATGTTCAATTTTGCCACACTTTAAAAGGGATCAGCAAATTGCAAACCTTGTGTTTTTTCCATGCAACTTGTGACAAAAAAAGACATTTGTGAGGTTTCACAGAGATCTGCTGTGAGTGTGAGTGACATAATAACTGCAGAACCACAGGAAAAAAGAGGCATCAGTAAGTCTATATACCGACATTAAGGTCAAATGAGGGATTCAACTTTTCCACTTCTTATAGCGCATACAAATATTCCTCAATTCTGTAAAAGAGCTTTCATGGATACATGTATATATACACAGATCATGTCCGTCTGTATGGCTGTAGTCATGTTGCCAGTGGAGGTGTTGCTATGTGATCAATCAACACCTTTCTGCACAGAGTTTACTTAAGTTCAGTCTCAAATCATTTCAAGTGCTCTACTGATTTCCCAGCACCTGCCTTTCCGTCTTTAAACTACTACTTTAATTCCTGTTGGAGGTGAAATTCCCCTTGAGTGCTGGCCAGGAATCAGCATCGATGTTCCTTTAATGAAATTAAGCCATCAGCAGACTTGAAAGAAACAAAACTGACACGGTATACAGTCAGAATCCACAGATGACTTCCCAACACTTTGATGTTGCCCTTGCACTTACTTTAGGTAAAGTAGCTTTGGACACATGAGACCTACTGAGATTTTAATACAGACCTGAAGGTAGATGCATAACAGGTTGAATATACATAATGGGTTTTAAAGCTCTAAATCTCAGTCACCATAATAAAATACAGGCATATACAGGAGACCAAGTTATACATATACTTTTTTGTCAAATGTTTTAAATGTGTACCCAGTGTTACTTGCTTGTATCCCTTCAATTAATAGTTTATGACCTCGAAAAACTTGGGAACACAACCTTCTTTTTTTATAATCACCCCTTCCTGACATATGCATTGATTTGGTGCTTTTACATGATTTATCGTGCCTCCTCTCCTTCCTTTACTCCCTAATTTTACTCACGCTTATTCCAGGTATCCCCTGTATCCCGTCGTTTCCAGGGTTACCCTGAAAGGAAGGAACTGAGGTTGAACTGGTTTGCTGCCCATCAGCTAGCCACTCCCATCTCCACCATTAGCCAAGGCAGAGTCAAAGGTCAAAATGATCACACCTGCTCCCTCTTCCACCAGGTCTTATGAAACTTAGTATTTTGCATTCAGCCATTGTTACAAATGCACCCTTGTCAAAGACATGACCTCTTTCATCACCACTCTAGATGTCTTTGTACACCTTTTACTTTCACACAGATCACAGTAATACCTTATTTGAAGGTCTGCTCAAGTTTAGAAATGAATCAAACTTCAAATAACCACCGGTTTATTTTTTTACATTTAAACTTAAGACCTTCAAATAACTCTTCATGTCTTGACATTCCCAAAGCTTGCTCAGTCGCTTCCCACAAAAGATAGAGCTTTAAGCACCTGACTGGTCAGCAGATATAATTTCATCCTGATTTCTAAGACTATTTAAACAAAGCTGTTGCACACAATCAGTATTTGATGTTGCTCCATTTCCTACATGCACATTATGAACGTTATGTTTCCCATTTAGTTGCAAAGCATGTCCTTCTGAAGGACACCAGCTGCCCAAGCTGAAAGCCTACATCATGAGTAGCATGTTGTTTAATCCAGGCTAAAAGAGCAGCTGAATTGAATTTAGGTTACACCATCACCGTCCTACTGGCTCTTCTTTCTCTTACCTGTATTCCTTTCATTCCATGAACACCCTCAAGCCCAGGGGGGCCAGGGGGGCCGGGAGGTCCTGCTGGGCCCTACAACACACAAAGACATAGCCACATTTGACATACAGCTCAACACAAATTAAGAATTCTGTGAATAATCTTTGTGAGGTAACAACAAAAAGAAAGCCTGCGATCGAAGCCCGAGTTATCAGACACGACAGCTGGCTGACGGGTCAGACCTGGGGCCCGGCCTGCCATGCGTTTATTGCAGTTCCTGGAGCTCCCTGGAAGGCAAAAGTCGTCAGAATCAGAGGAGCACTGGTGCTTGCAAAACATACAGACAGCGCACAGTGTAAAGGTAGGAATAACACGACAAATGTCAAAGAACAAAATGATGCCGGAGGGAAATAACCAAGAATGAACGTAGGTTTTTCTGAATGTGTCGCCTGTGGAGTCGTAATTAACCGTGTGAGTGTGTGTTTAAGAAATCAATGTGTATTCAGACTCCTGTTGCAAGGCATCAATTCGCTAGATGAAATAATTGTACGTCTAGATGTGTTTTGAGTGTGTGTGTGTGTGTGTGTGTGTGTGTGTGTGTGTGTGTGTGTGTGTGTGTGTGTGTGTGTGTGTGTGTGTGTGTGTGTGTGTGTGTGCGTGAGACGAGGGGAACCATCTCTTGCGATTACCATCTGTTCCACCCCCTTATATTCAAACCCCCCTCTCAGATCCCTTCATCCAAACAAAACGGTAGACTTACCTTGTCCCCCTTAGCTCCATCATATCCCTGCAAAAGAAGGAGACAGCCGCACGCAAACACACACACGCACACACAAGCACTTAGTTACTCTTGCTTTGTTGTTCCAGAAGAAAGCTCACGGGGCAGTGAGCTGAGCGCAGATCAGGGAACAGAGGATGAGATGGGAGCAGACACTGCCTCTGTTATGGATCGAGGCAGACATCCTTGGTTACAAATGACGCCTAAATCAAGGACAATTCCCAGAGAAGCTCACAGAAAAAAATTAACACAGGGAACACACGCTAACACAGAGGCAACAACTGAAAGTTTACTACTTTAATTTCTTCAACGTTTCTTCAAATTGTGGAGAAAACAACATGCAAATGAAACAATTTAGACAATGAAGGAACAAAACAACTCACAGGTTTGCCGTCAGCTCCTTGAAGCCCGGGAAATGCATCTCTCCCCTGGAAAAGTAAATAGGAACAAGTGTTTGACGATACAACAGAATGACATAATATATTCATATGTACAATTATGCATTTATGTCTAACCGGGGGGCCTGGTACTCCAACGCCTTGAGGCCCTTGAGGTCCTTGAAGCCCGACTTCACCTCTGGAGCCCTAAGACAAGGAAACACTTACTGTCACATTGTTGCATTACTTTAAACTGAATTATGTAATTTAACTGCATATTGCTACAATACATGTGGCCTCCAGCTCTCTATTTTATGCTACCTTTTCCCCATCAGGGCCAACAGGTCCAGTCAATCCTCCGGTTCCAGCAGGTCCCTGAACAAAACAAACAGATGAGACCACGGCCTGAAGATACAGAGTAGAAAAATATGACTTCAAAAACATATAGTTTCACTTACTACAAGTCCTGGAAGCCCTCTTGGCCCCTCTTCACCCTACGACAGAAAGACAGGCAGGGGGTTAAGATGTTAAGGTTGTTCTCGGAGGATACAAAGATGTGTATATTTTGGTGAGGTGGCCAGACTCTGACAGATGAGATGTAAGTAAAGACCAACATCAAAATAACAATAAAGCAAATAGGATTCCGCAACTAACCAATGGATTTAAGGGGGATACACCCATGATTGTTTTTTAAATGGCTAACCCTAATGGATGATGATGAATGATTACAAAAGCACCACATTGTGTGTGTGTGTGTGTGTGTGTGTGTGTGTGTGTGTGTGTGTGTGTGTGTGTGTGTGTGTGTGTGTGTGTGTGTGTGTGTGTGTGTGTTTATATAAATTGTATTTATTGGGATTGTTAGGGAATCATTTGCCTAGGTATTCAACCTTTGACACAGTTCATAATTTTCTCCTCTCACTTTCTCCTTTCCCATGGCATAGTTCTACGGCCTTGGGTATAGCTGCTATCATGGCCGTATCTACCATTGAGGTCACCGAGGTCCGGACCTCGGCAATATTTTTCGAGCTGTATACAAAACTTGTGAAATAATTGCACTGAGCGGGGTTCTTTGTAGTACTTCCATTTACTGCCGATGGGGGCGCTGCATAACTACGTAGCCTCGATTAAAGCAAAGAGAAGAAGACTACATGTATCAACAAACCACCGCAGCCGAGAAGCTAAACTGGGTTGGAAAAACGATAGACGCAGCCCGGACTTGTACAGGAGCAGCGAAGGAGTGATGAAGTATCTAGAGATCTGAGTCCAGCGGTTGCTTGTGTTTCTGTTCATCAGGACATCATATGACCAGCAGATCCTGTGTGAACGCTCTACGTTAGTCAGTGGACGTCCGACAACATGCACACTAANTCTGTTCATCATATGACCAGCAGACCCTGTGTGAACGCTCTACGTTAGTCAGTGGACGTCCGACAACATGCACACTAACTTATATTGCAGCTATACTTTGGTTTAAATTGCGTGAATAAACTAGCTAGAGAGATAAAGTTAATTACATTCATCCAATGTCAGAAGGATTACCTTTTAACAAACGTTGTAATGCTTTTCTTTCATTTCAATTTGAGTAAAACAATGGAGATATAACATTGTATTATTTTCTTTTTACACTGACTCAGATAT